CTTAATTATGTACCAATTTAAACCAGAAAGCCTATTACTCAATTGTGGATTACATAGAAGCTTGGGAAAATGACGACAATGCTTGGGATTAATTTAATGTAGGCTATTTCTTAAGTAAAAATGTGGTGTTGGCTAGTGTATTTAAAAAAAAAACATGGTCTTTTTACCTTTTAGTCCTTAATAACGGACATACTGGCACACATCAAAACAATGTTGTGGTATATTTAATGATGAGATTGTATTTATCTTTAAATTGAAAAAGAGTGACATGCATGAGTTTGTTTGCCCTGTCTTCTCATAAGGCTCAACCCCTTGGAAACGGGCGGTTGTAGATTGGCACAGGCATATCATAGATTTTCGTCCGTGTGTGTCGTAAGAGACGACTAAGGGAGAAAACTACGCAGAACAACAGCACTGCAGAGAGAAGGAAAACTTGACACAAACCCTATACCAACCCGTCTGACCAGCGTGGTATAGTAGGCCAAAACCTCCTTTCTAAGGAGAGGCTTATGTCCAGCAGTGGACTATTAAAGGCTGTTGATGATATCATAGATTTTGTATAAGTTCTCTTTATTAAATATATTTTGCTTACTATTTGACAATACAGATATTGTTGCTATTTTGTGTGTTGATCTATGACTTTAGAGTCTACATTAAAGACGATTTTAAACAATTTATGAAATAAAGATAGTTTGAGCTCTGAGCTCTGAAATTGCTTACAGGTGCAAGATACATTAGTAGGTATAAGAAATTGCGTTAAAGTGACTGACCTTCGTGTCGAGAACGTTTGACTTCCAGCATCAAATTAAAAGTTTACCTTAACACCTTAACGTTTTGAATTCGCGAGATTTTAATTTAAATAGTAATTAATGAGAATATATATTCACTTCTTGTCAACCAAGTCTTTAAGATTAAAGATTTTTATTTAATAGTTCATTCGATTTTAATGCATTCGAATATTAGTCCCACCCACTTCTGGTTAATAAATGGACATTTTTATTGCGGTTTTTGTAAAATCTTACCCATTAAGGGGGTAAATTAGGGGTTGTTAGTTAATATAGGAACGAAGTAGTATGGAATACAGTGATAATATGTATGTTAAACGTCTGATCATAAATGGCAGTGTCACCATAATTGGTGACGGAACTTGCCTAGAGCAATGTCGTTTTTCTTAAATGACACTCAAGTCACGACTAGACATTGCCAAAAGAGATAACTGCTCATGTGGCTTCTTACTGGAATGATTTTGGTATCATGTTTTATGATACTAATAGTAATTCACGGCAAATATGTAACTAAAACTACATATTAAAAAGAAATAATTATTATATTACGCGAGCGAAGACGCGGGCATTAGCTAGTTTTTATTATAAGTTCATTTGAGTATCTTTAATTTGTATTGGTATTATACATTATTTTGTTATAACTGAAGTTCCTACAAGCAACAAGAACCAATTGAACATGCGCAAGACGCTCCTGGATCTCGCCCGTTAACTACCGGGTGCATTCTCCTCAGCGCCGGCCAAGTTTTCTCATTATGGCCGTCAGCGCCTCCCGCTACTCACACATACGACCGACAAACATGCCGTCACGTATACGCACTCCAAACGAACCCCAAATGCAACACACATTTTATTAGAAGAAATAGTCTAGGAAACAGACACGCTCAAACTAGCGTCTTCTATTTCAATACGTCGTGCGCAAAAGTTTTCGACTTAAGCCTGGAAGACTGTTTTAAAAACGGCAAAGCACGACTTAAGCAACTCATAAAAGTGAAGAGGGCTAAGATATTTCTCAGGGTGGGCGAGAGGAGCGGTTAGCCGACTTTTACACTGGTTTTATTGTCTCGGCGCCCCTCGTAAACCGTCCTTTGTGTTAGTAACGTCTCAAGTTGTATTAACACCGTGATAACTTTAGTGGGGATCGTTTACTTCAGCGAGTCCGATTGGCTCATCGCCGCCATTAGGACGAGGTAAGCCGATAGTTTTGATAATAATTTAAGTGGTACGTTCAATATCATTAATACGCGAGAGATTTTAGACCCTTTGATATTGAATTTCGTGAACCAACGGAAACTGTATCATAAATTACAAGCATCCCTTAGAGGCGCCTCCTAAACGGTGTTTAGATGTTATGGAGTAATTAGGAAAGTCGTCAGATCGGGCGGGTCGAGTGCCAGCCCGTGTGTGTAACCGTTTTACAAAATTCATTGCATGGTAAATATTGGCTAAATTGAAAACGAATGTTATTTGCATATTTTAGACCAAAAGAAGGCAGAGATGGAATAAAACTAATGTTAAATTTGAAGCAAGTTTATTTTATGAAATAATCTTTTTAAAAAGTAAAATATTTTAAATTTAACCCTTTATTTAATATACGAGTTGATTAGGCGTAGTATTGTACTACTCGTATATATACAGTTTAGTAAGCGTAAGACATACAATAACAATTTCAGCTTTGTTGTAAGGGATTGATTCCCGAATTACATTTCACAAAGAATAAGCTGAAAAAGCTTAGTATAATATCCTTATTTAAAGTCAGTCGGAATAGAAGAAAAGTCTGTTACAATTATTAAAATCCCGCATCTAAATGCTATAACATTCCAACTTTTTAATAAGGAAGTATTTAATTTCCATTTCAAGAGTTTCGACAGACGAAAACAAAACAAAATCTTAAAAACATACTGTATTTATAAAATGAAAACGAGAATTGAGTTGCTGTTCATACTGTTTCTTGGAGATGAATTTTGCGACAAGAATTTTCCAATGAATTTAGTGGTTTCAATCGATTATGTCGATAATGGAAAAGTTCAGTAGACAACAACAAAGGCCGATATAAGTTAACGAAGCTCACGAAAGCGAAATTCACGATGGGAGCACTCTGGCGGACAGGAAATTAAAAGACAAAAGAGTGGCGGCCAGGGCAGTTTAGACTCGGAAATGGAGGGCGTGCCTTACCCTCTGTGATTTTTCATAGGCGTCAAACCGCAACCACCTTCGCGTGAATACTATTAAAAGCGGGGTCTATCGTATATTAAGTTGGCATTATCTGACTATTTTATTTTTTATTCAAGATCTAATAAGAACAATAATAATTATATATTTTATTAGCAATACCCTGCTACACTTCGCTGTACCACATTATGGTTGCATTGATGAGACATGTGGTACGCGGACAATAGATAAAAACAATATTTGAAGCGGTTTGTATATCGTGTAAAAATTTGAGCTCAATCGATGCAGAACATGTTGAGTTTTTAAAATTAACGATTTTAATATATTTATTTCTAGATTGTGTGAATTATTCTGTATTGTGCTACTAAGTCTGACATCGTAGCATACCTATATCTAAATATATACCTATTATTAGTATTGTCAATAAATATATTTATTACATTACAAAATTAATATTTTTAAGCATTTGATAACACTGAGTAATCTCAATATTGAACCGCTAAGCATCCAATCTTTTAGGTTCACGTGACATCGAATACATTTGGAATGTAACAGAATTAATCCTTCCTAATACGGCGATCCCTAATGTATCAAGTATACGTATGGTTTCTGTAATTCAGGCGGGCTGCCGTAATCCATTCGCATCGGGTGATATCGAGTTTCTGAGGGAGCCTAGATGCCGTTTCTCGCATCTTTATAAGTACTTTAACTACCCCATTGGATTGAGGAATTCAAAATTCTATTGAGATGTTTTAGCTTTATTATTTCTTACGTTTTGTTGTTTTATTTTTCGTATTATAAAGTTGAAATAATTCTTTATAATTGAATAAATATATTGTTAACACATTGCGTAAGTTGTTGGCACGTAATACAAAATTTCTGTTTATAATTTAGGTATTCAACGTTTTGTTAATTACTAAAATGTATTATCGTTATACCTACGACTACAGTCGATGATGACACAACGAAAGTTGAAAACTTTGTTTTCTAATTCAATTTACATTTAGAATCAAAAACTTTCCGTGACACTGTTTTGCATTATTAATACTTCAGCATGGCGTGATCTCTCGGGAGGCGCACTAGAAACCATAAATTGAATTCCAACCTTCGCAATTAGTTATTCCCGCGCGTGAAAACTTTCTAGATCGTTCGCCTTCGTTAACAGATGTTACGGTGCTATTCATTATACATTCCGTCGAATTGTAAAGCCGAACATTTAATTTAAAGTACCCACTGAACGCGCCTTTGTTAAATCGCCAAGCATTTTGGGTGGATTGTTGAGGAAACGCTCGAGAAACTGAGGATTAGCCTCGCCTCGCGTTCGCTAGTTTCCAGTTTAAGGAGAACATTCATCTGTTGGAAAATGTAGAACGATAAATAAAGGTGTGGAATATGGAATTACGGACGAGCTAGGCGGTCCCGGGTGTGCGCCACTGGCCAACGCCGGCGTAAAACCCATTAACCTTCGCCACGTACCCGCACGTCCCGCTAGTGGCACAAATGACAAGTCGTTCTCATAATGCTATATTGAATAACAAATCACGGACATAAAGAGTGTTGGTGCAATATGCTCAAAAGAGTGCCTATGCGACAGCGTACCGTTGGATAATAAAAAACTTTTTGTGGCGAGATTACCATTACGGCTCCACGGCACGTCTCTTATCGGCCTAATTTGGATCAAACAATTCCATTCCCCCATACAAATTGCGGCAAGGCACATTTGTTATCTGCAGTTTTAGGCAGAAATTATATTAAGATTTTGTCGAGCGATAACACTGTATACTTTTACTCTCCTCTCTCGTGTCTAGAGACCCTACTTTTACGATAACAATAAATTATGACAAAATAAATTGTTTTTTACTCATTTCATCTATGAAAATGAGATTTTATTTTCATATATATAAATATGAGCCAATAAACAATATATCTATTTGTATACATATATTATTTTTATGTACCTTTTATTTATCTATTAACAAGTAAAAATCTATATCAAATAAATATTTTTATTGTTTCAGGTAACCTGTAGCTTATACATGAGATGTTATGGGCTCCTGCGTAGCGAAGTGGCGTTGGTGGGTGGTAGTAGTAGCATGGGCGTGGGGCGCGGCTGCGCGCACTCTCTGCCCCGCGCGATGCGCGTGCGACGACGCCCTGCGCGCCGCCTCATGCGCAAATGCGAGCCTCGAAATCGTGCCTATACAACTCAACCCAGAAGCAACTCACATCAACCTCACACACAATGCAATCGACAATCTCCTTTATACGTTTGGATTCTACACTCAACTGACCGTTCTCGATATTTCTTACAACAAAGTCGTAGATTTAGGTAGTAAAAATTTCGAGAATAATATTGAGATGACATATCTCAATTTGAGTAACAATTTTCTAAAGCGTTTAGACAAAGAAACATTTAGAGGACTGAAGAGTCTTGTGGATTTAAATTTAGCAGATAATGCAATATCAAGTATACATGTGCAGACGTTCAAAGATTTATCTGCGCTAGAGAGACTCGATTTGTCAAACAACAGACTAGTAAAGTTTGAACCAGAAACTTTTAAGCCGCTAATGTCATTGAAGATATTATCGCTTAAGAATAATTCAATATTAGATATACCTTCTCCTAACCTTGGTTTTGTACTACATTTGGAGGTTTTAGACCTATCAGAAAATTTAATAGAGCAAGTAACGAAACTTGGTATTCCACATTTACAGGAATTGAAGCATTTAGATTTAAATAACAACCTAATTGAAAGTGTGGATCAACTAGGATTTCACAACTTACCATCACTGCGGCACTTAGATTTGAGTGACAACAATATGACATCGATCCCAACGTCAGCCTTGTCAAAACTATCAAACTTGTCCCATTTGTATCTAAGTGGCAATTTTTTTCAAAACATTACAGCGCTTTCCTTCCAAAGTCTATTTCATTTAAAACATCTACACTTGAGCAGACTTTACGAACTCGAGAAAATTGATTCAAGAGCTTTTGTAGACAATATAAATTTACAAAAAATATGGATGAATGAAAATCTCAAAGTGAACGAAGTTCCTCCGAGACTCTTCCACGGCAATCCAAAGCTGACGCACATATACATGCGAAATAATGCACTAGTGGCTCTTGAAGCTGCTCATTTCCCTATAGATAGGTTGCAAGAGCTAGAGATTTCTGGAAACCCGTTTGTTTGTAATTGCTCAATATTGTGGTTATGGAAACTGGGCAGAGAGAGCGAAATTAGTAACAAGAAGTCTGGAAATGCAAGCTCTATATTAAAAATAGACTATGAAAATGTGAAATGCGCAACTCCAGCACATTTGAATGGTGTCCTGTTTATACAAATTCCGGAGTCAGAATTCGGATGTTCAAATGGTTGGGTAATAGTAGCGATTGTGGTACTTACAGTGAGTATCATAATAAGCGTTGTTGGCGGTGTTTTATACTTCATGGGACCCTTGAAGAAGTGTAAAGGTGATAAATCAAAGCAAGTAATGACAAGTGTCATGTTGAATGGTGACGTGTCCAAATTAGGGAACGGGCTAGGGTATTCGACACGAGGAAGGGAGCAAGAAAATAAAAGAGATGTAGATCGATATCTCATGATCGGCTCATCCGTGAGTAATAACTTCCATTCATTGAACCCTCCTTGGCATAGCGTGGACAAGAATCCATACTACCAGGAAGATAGCGAAGAGCATATCTACCAACAATTTGCTTACGAGACAATTCCACACCATAGAACGCCTGAAAAACCACACATAGTGTACGTCTAACATAAGTTGTGCGCAAAGGACAATATCATGGGTATATTTTCTTTGCTAAGTTATACGAACGAAGTTGTGTATTGTCGTCAAAATGACGAAGAACATTAAATTCGCAATAATGTAAATAGTGATATGAATAAAATGTAATATGTGATAGCTTTGTATATAGTCGTGTAAATATATTACTCAGTGCAGATAAAGACATTACTTTATAGGTATTATTATCGATTTTGTACTTACTCATTTAGTCATGTTTAAACCTATTATTGATTGTCATTTCACCTGTAACGTAGAATTGACGTTGACTTGTTTTGTTTCCTAGATCCTTTATCATATGGGTACTCCAATATTTTAGTGCTTGTAAAATTCTCTAAGATACTCAATAATAAATGAATATTGTAAAATAATATACTATACCTGATATATTTATCAGAATTAAAACACCAATACTTGATGAAAACTTTGTACAAATAAAAGCAATATAGAATAATTTGAGATGTTATGTCGTTAATTTTTATTCGGTATTGTTATTGTAAACTTATTAGTTATATTAAGAGATGCAACAACAGTAAATAACGTACTTAGAACATTTATCTGTCTACATTCATATATAGAATTACATAAATTCAACCAGTTGCTCTGATGCTAAGGAGTACAAATACACTATTATTGGCTAGCAAGATGAGTTCGATGAAAATTATTTTAATAAGATTTTGTTGATAGATATTCTGAAATTAATATTTTTGTACTTAGAGAATACGTGATTATTGGTCCTAAAAGTTTTCAGGTAAAACTATGGAGTGATCATGCTAGTTTGGAACGTACCAATATAGATCTGTATCTTTAATTTTGCTAATAAACAATCTTGCATCTAAGTGTAAATAAATCTGAAAAATGTAATAAACCAAATAAGAATCTCAGTTGCATGTTTTATAAACTCTTTGGATGCACTAATTCACTCAAGAAACTTTTTCTTGTCAGAAAACACATTTTGTAATGGATCGAAATTATTTTATTTGTACAAATATTTTTATGAAAACTTTTAGGTCAATTTTTTTAAGGGTTTAGCTAAAATAATCACTGCAGTTATAATAATGTTTATACATATAAAGAATCCCTAATAAAACATTATAATAATGATATCTGCTTCATAACCAATCACTCACCTACTCAGTCGATACCTACAGTCATATTGATAGTGTAAGGCTATTTATACATACTATTTAAAGAAAAAACCTTTTGTTATGAGAACTTGTTTAAATATATAATGCATTAAAACAAACGACAAATAAACAATTAAAAATATTAATTGCATTTTAATTGAAAGGAGCACTTACTGCAGCGCGTCCCAATTATTTGAGATTCATTGTCATTGGAGCGAGTAATAAAATGGCAATGGAATGAAATATATGCAGGCCATTGGATGTAAGTATTTTCTTAAAATAACAATATTTATGTGAGATTATATTAAAGAGAGATATTTATTTACTTTCTTCAACAATATTATCTTAAACTCTTAAATGTTTCTACTGATTTTAAAGTAAATCTAAATACTACTTTAGATAGTTTCTATTGTTCTCTTACGTAAAAGAAATAATTAGTAGTAGTGTACTACCACGGTAACATGTAAATGCCTAAAATATTCCTTAACATTAACTCTAAATATTTCTTAACCTGAAATATATTATAGGTTAAGAAATATTTAAGGCAAGTACCTCAAGTGCCAGAATTGTGAGTTAGAAAAAGGGAATATTCAACTAAACCAAGATAAGGTAGCTGTGGAAAACAAAATATTACAATTTCGTATGTCAAAGGAATTAAGCAGTCCTGATACCAAATAGACCTGAAGTATCAGGAGAGATGAGGTAAAAACATTGAGGACAGTGCAAGTAAGTACCTACACAAAACTTTATTTATCCTCAAGGAATAGTCTATGAAGGTTGCAAGCATGACTTCATAAAAAAAATTAAAAACTGTACTTAACAAAAGATACCTAAATGCAATACAAAGTTATAGTTAAATAACATCAATGAACATCGCAACATTTAAATTTAAAGAACATGAAACCATAACTGCACGGATGGCGTTGTGGATTAAGCGGCCGCCACGCCGCTTCCTACTGCGCTAAGTGTTGTGGGTTCGATCCCCACATGGAACACCACTTTGTGTGATCTACAATTTGTTGTTCTGAGTCTGGGTGTTCTTTGTGTCCGTTTCATTTATGTTTGTAAAATCCCCCGCGACACAGGATATACATATATTCCTAATGCGGGAGTTGTCTTAAAAAAATGAATTCTTCTTCTTATGAAAAATCATAATAAGAAGAATTCAAGTTATTTTAATTTATCTTTATTATATTTATAGATACATGCAGAAAGAATATCTAAGCTATGACAAGGAGCTGTCACAAGTTTCACGAGAATTTTGCTTGCAGTTTTGTATACACAGTATATTCACGAAGAGTAGTCTAGCATGAAAGTAAACTTTTATTGGAACTGTTAAATACCACTTGGTTGGTAAAGCTTCTATGCAAAATCTGTTTGAAATATGTTTCAAAAATAAAAGTGATACGTATGAAAATATTTAATATTGAAATGCCAATGAAAATTCACTGGCGCCTACGCTGAATTCCGAGATTGATATTTCAATAACTCCATAAAGGTATTTACTAAATTTCATTGAAATTATAACGAGTTTCCTATTCACAAAAAAGAAACAGCAGTTTAGAAACAATCATGGAGTTTTGACAACGATATATGTATATTTGAGACGTTAGTTATCCGCCATGCTGTGCGTTGTTCCGGAAATCAGTTTGTTAAAAGCGGAATAAAACTTGATATTTGATTTGATGGTGATATTCGAATTGTTATGGTAGTACTAGAATTATAAAAGTTTATTGTAAAGTTATTTGTATTGAAAAAAATGGCAGTCATCTGATCGTATTCATTAGTAGATTTACTTGTATAGGTACTGGTACTTTTTGGATTTGTATTGTTGATTTATGTGAATGCCTGTACTTTTATTTCATACTTACTACTGCAGTATGAACTCTTATAAACAAATAATAGAAAATCCAATCATTGGAGATTGCGATATTTTGCCCTACTCGACAATTATTTACTGTAGGAGTAAGTAAGTAAGGTAAGATTGGTATTCAAAACCAACAACATGTTCTGAGAAATAATCTCTGCAGGAATCGTTATACCAGTTTTAATATCAAGAAACTTGAATATCTTTTTTTTATTTACTGTACCATCAACAACCTTAGCAATTCACTGTTTGACATAGGCCTCTCCTTGAAAAGATGATTTAGGCCTACTATACCACGCTGGCCAGCCGGGTTAGTATAGGGTTTGTTTGAAGTTTTCCTTCTCTTTGCAATGTTGTTGTCTTGGGGTGGTGACACTCCGTGTAGTGACGGATTAAGAACTATTTGATTTCTATTAAGGTTTGAGGCCGGTTTTTACACAGACATCCGAGTAGTGAACAGCTCAAATTAATACCAGTATCTAGCTATTCAAGAATACCTGTAAAACATCGCTTTGAGAGGAAGTATGTATTTCGATCGATTATGTATTCAATCTCACATGTATTTATTCTACTGCTGAAAGAATTGATGCAATTTATAAATACACCTTGTAAGCACCTTGAGCCAACGACGGCTTAATGTCGAGTTCTCGCTCGACATGATTGATTTGAAAATTTTAAGGATTTATCTAAAATACTTTCAAACCGAAAGACATGTGTCATCCCATTTATGTTTGCAATATATTTTTTTTTTTAATTGTGAAGTCTGTTGGATTGTTCCCAGCCAACACTGTGTAAAGTACAAAATTTGAAGTCTAAACAATAATGTACATGAAGTACTTCTTGAAATCATATTTTCAGAGCCTCAGGCTGATCTGACCTCTTATCTTACCTTTGTAAAATATTCTTATAAACGGTAAAATTTTATTTTTCCTTTGATGCATATCATTTAAATATGCATTCATATTCATATGCAACTATTTATGTCAAAATAGATTAATCTGAGGGAACAATTTCAATTAGGTAATTGTGTACATAACTAAGAATAATAAAAACAAAGAAGTTATTACCATGATCTTGATAAAATTTAGAAAAGTAAGTCATTTAATAATGTAAAACTAAATCAAAATCTACCAAGTTGCAGGAACATTCACGAAAATTCATCGCACCAGGGTGCAAAAATAAACTTTAAATTTTGGTACTAGTTAATAAGTATAAAAAAACGAGAGAGATCAAATAGAAACCATTAAAAGCGAAATATAATAGTAACCACCGAGGTATTTTTGTAACTGGTCAAATGGCTATTAAAATTAACAGCAAATTGACATCAATATGGGTACCTCAATTATACCCAAATAAATCTGGCGAGCGTGGTACAGTGGACCAAAACCCCCTTTATAAGGAGAGGCCTACGTCGAGCAATGGACAATTAAAGGCTGTTCATGTGATGATGTGAATAATCAAATGAATGCAAAATTGTGAGAATTGTCCTATTTTAGTAATTCTCTAATAAAATAAATCATAAGGCATTTACACACCTCGTTAATACTTAACATTAACAGGAAATGCACGGCCATTAATTAATTTAGTTCATTGGCAGAAAGTTGATTATGATAAAGTCGTTTCGGTCAATATCGGACGGATGACATTCATTTGACGGCCAACAAGGGGTGCGTGAAAGAATGCTATAGAGAGCCTTTTTAACATGCACAATTGCCTATCAGAGTGTGTTAAACGGCCCAATATGAGGAATTTCATGTAAATTTTTGTGGAATGTAATTTGCATCGTCGGATGCAAGGGTCGATTGTATTTGATATATTTTAAATTTCTCTCTGTGTTTCAATGTATGTTATAATTTTGAATCTATTTATATAATTTTGCGTTTTCATGTGCTGATGTTCATGTGACAGTATTTTTACTGTCAAATAGACAACGCACAAAATAGGCTTACCAAAATTAATTATTAAAATGAGATTTCCAC